TCGTCTCTCTTGGTATATCGGTAGAACACCACCCTGTCAAGCGGGTTACCCGCAGTACGGTGGAGAGCTGGGTTCGACTCCCAGAGGGAGAGCTTTTTTGCCCCTTGCGCAACGGCTCTGGCGTCCTTGATTTTTCATGTTTTGTTGCACTACGACCCCAAACCTTGATGATCTAAATACCCATGTAGCCCTTGTGCGACGCCGTAACTGGCACAGTGTAGATAAACAATGTTCGAGCTCCTCGCGAGCGTGATCACCATATCCCCTCCATTCTTCCTGGGCTCAGCTTGGACTCTGACGGACGCATGCGTTCGATCGCGGGCATCTTCTCATAACTAGGACTAATGCATTCACAAGGCTGCATTTCGCGCCTTGGGAACGATTTGGGAACAATGTTTCCATGTAAGCGCATGATCGACAGTTGAGGTCGATTTATCCAACTTCATCTTCCGGACGAGGGCTGCAGTTTGCTCAATGTTGGACCGAGCACGACCATTAGGCCATATTAAAATGCATGTGACAAGTTGTCATATTTTGGGACAATGCCCCATCTTTTCAAACCTGACTAACAGTCGACCACTACAGTTTGGTTTGAAGTCTCAGAGCTCTGTCGATATAAAGCCAGGTGCAGAACCTGTCATTTCTTCCCCACCCTCTCCTCATCCCATCCTTCCTTGCAGTGCTCTTGACGAGCTAGCATCCCTTGCCCCTCCCATCCCCTGTATCGCATCTACCTTCACATTTTGCATCTGCATCACGCCGGATCGTGTATCTCGTCCATCACCCAACAGCCCATCTTTCATTTATCCACTAGTCATCATGAAGTTTCCCTCTGCCTCCGGTATCGTCTTTGCGTCCCTCGCCATCTCGGGCACATCCCTTGCCGCTCCTACTGGGTTCCCTTCCTCCCCTACTCCCAACTCCCCGAACCCTGGGCTAGATTCCCCTCGTCTTGCCGACTCTCCTGACTTGAACTTGAATTCGCCTCGTTCTCTTAACCAGGCGTTCTTTGTTGGACGTTCGAGGCAGTCGACCCCTCGACGCAGCCGTGTCTGTGAGTTTACTCTCCCATCTAGTGATTACGTTGACCATATTGGCTGATAATCTCGCGTTTCTGCAGCCCGTAAACGCGATGTGACACCTCCACCTGCACCCCATGGCCTTCCGATCGACGCCCTGGGCATTGCAGCAGATCCTTCCGATCTTAGCTCACTCTTCGGCACGGTTTCTGAGACTGCTGGCGATGCTATCGTCGGTATTCCTGGCGTAGGCACTGTGCTTGGTTCCGCCTTTTCTCAAGTCACCGACAAGGCTATTGATGTTTCGGAGAAGCTGCCTTCAGCCGCGGCGATGACGAGGTCTCCTGGTACGTTTCCAGACCGATGGGCTGCTGGGATTTGTTGATAATCTTTCTGGTCAAAAGGTCACATGTTCACTAGGGGGAATGGTGGCGTGAACGCACAAGGTCTTGGTATTGGTGCCCCGGTCAAGGGTGTTCTCGATACCGTCGGTGGGATAACCAAAGGGTTACCAGTAGTTGGCAAACCGCTTTCTGACGCGATTGGCAAAGTGGGTGATACCGTTGGTTCACTTTCCACCAAAAAGCATCGTGCGTCGTTCCACCTCTCTGCTTC